GATGCTGCAAGTTGTACAAAACCTTCTAATTCCTTACCAGTCCCCTTCACCTTCCCACTGTGAAGGTCCTGCATTATCCAGAAGTCAGGATAAAAGGATATAAAACATCTTAAGTCCCTTGTAAGCTTGGACACAGACAAGAGGTTATATTTAAAATTTGGAACATACAGAACATTCTTAACAATACTGTTTTCACCAATTCTACTCTCTCCAGTACATTCAACATCAAGTAAAGTTCCATCAGGTAAATATACCTTTGTGCATTGCCTAGGATATTTGTGTTTATCTTGTCAAGTAGATCTCTAGTGTGAACCATGTGGTTGGTTGCACTAGAGTCTACTATCCAATTCTCATCTTTAACCTTTTCATTTATAACAAAGGTCTTAGATGTACCTGCAAAGCTTGCATTTTCACCTGTCCCTGCATTGATCATATTACTCTTGAGTAAACATGATTGGCCTTCCTCCTTGTGCTACATTTGCAGCAGATGTGTTGATCACTTGTTGTGCCTCCTGTGTATTTGCATTGGTCACCTACTTTGTCATTGATTGTTGTTCCTCATGTATGCTTGCATTGGCCATAGGTCTTTGAGGAAAGCCTGTTGTCTTCTTCCTCATTTTGAAATCAGCTGGATATCCATGCAGCTTGAAGCAAGTGTCTCTTGTATGTCCTTTATAGTTGCAGTAATCACAGAATAGATTTCCTCTTCTGGGCTTATAATTGTTCCCTGAATTCATGCATTTGTTGGTGAATAGTGTTGTCCCATCGCCAATGTCTACAGACTAAGAGAACTTTCCCAAAGCTCTTTGGCTTTCTTCAGAGACTATCATAGAATATGCTTTGTTAACTGTAAGAACAGGGCTCATGATCAATATCTGACTTCTAGGTTGGCTATATGTTTCATTTAACCCCATAAGAAACTGCAACAGCCTCTGATACTCAAAATGTTCAAAATAGCTCTTAGATTCTGGGCAGTCACACCCAAGGCAGGGCATCAAGGCATCATATTCCTCCCAGAGGTCTGTCAATTTGGAGAAATATGCAGAAACTGAGGAAATTCCCTACGATAAAGTTGCAATTTCTTTGTGTAGGAAGAAAATGCGAGATCCATCAACCTTATCATACTTATCTTTCAGATCAGTCCAGACTTTGTGTGTGCTAGATTTGTAGAAAATTCTACTAAGTAATTATGTGCTCACAGCATTCATAATCCATGATAAAACTATTGCATTACACTTCTCCCAAAGCTCATGCAAGGATTGATCAAACTTATCCTTAGTACACCGTCCATCAACAAATCCTAGCTTACTCTTACCAATTAGACCTTTTTCATAGATCTACTCCACAATGCATAGTTTTCAGATCCAGTTAGTTGAATAGAGATCAAGGAACTACCTAGAGTATCACAAGGCTGTAAATACAATGGGTGATAATGATCTATGCTCATTGCTGTACTTGTTCCAATTGAAGTTTCTTCTCCATTCGCCATTGCTAATAGATTCAGCTGATTCAAGGAATTATAGATTCGCATCGCAAATAAAAAAGAGCAGAAGCTAGGTTAACTAATTGAGGAAAAACTCGAACAATCAGCAACAAAATGATTCTGCAGAAAGCAGAAGATATCCACCACAACAATCGTGTATTTAGCCCCTGGGCTCTAATACCATGATGAAGCTCGTAGATTAGATCAATTGGAGCTAAGAAGAAGATGAACAAGAAGGTTCTAGAATGAAGAACACATTGGAGAGCATGTAAGCTGAAAATGATTGTATATTCACTCTATAAAAACTGAATACAAGGAAATATGTCCTACTGTTGCTCCTAAACGCACACGTAAGTATACGTGGTCGTACAAGTAATAAAATGATAAGTCGAGTGTCGAACCCACAGAGACTTATATCAACTACTCACTAAACAACAATATTGTTATTCCGTAAAGCTAAGTTCAAGTTCAAGAGTTTAATTGTGCTAACTACAATTCTAAGTAATAACTAAATTATCAAGCAGTAGAATGATTGTTATGTATTCAATAGAGACAACTATTTCAGGGTTATGATCTATTCATCAATCCTATTGTATTCTAATTAACTCTCCATTTCATATAATTCACTCATGGTTGCTAATTAATCAATAAACTCATAGCCTTCTCCCGAAGTACTATTCACTTATTCGCAATAGATTAACGCCTATATTCATATGAAATTAATCTATTAAGAACGCATTAAGATCACGATATTTAATTAAGAACGGTGACTAGGTATATTCCTATCCTAACCACAAATCCGCCCCACCTAAGGGTTAAGATCATGCTCTCTTCAATTCTTATCTAATCTAAACACGACTTTTCCAAGCATAGCATAGATAGTAAATAGAACCTAACTGCTGGCCAGACAATTAAGCAATTAAACACAAAATTGAAGAAACAACCATATATTGATGAATTATAATCAAGGTCAAGCTAATATCAAACAACAATATTCATGGCTAAATCACAACCCCAGAACAATGGGTGTTTAGCCACTCATGATGTAATAAAACAATTGCATCAGTTTTGAATAACTAAAAATAGTAGAAAAGATGAAGTAATCCGAGATGTTCTTGTGTGTATTTTTGCTCCAAAGTGCGTCTCCCCACGCTAAGCTCTGTCAAAAGTCCTCAAAATAACGTTTTTATATGTATTTATACCAAGTAGGGTCTGGCCCAGACTAAACATCTTCTCCTGCGCGAAATAGGACTCTGGCTCTGTGAAATTTGTACAGCCGCGCCGCACCATGCGACGCGCTAATGGAAATTATCAGCAGCCTCAACTTTTCACATCAGGCAGCATTTTACACTGCTGCACCGCGCCTTGCGGCGTCCTATGTGGTGCGGCAGTGTAATTTTCTCAGAGTGAACTTATTTCGTCCTCTTTTAACATCCCGACTTGGTACACGACCTCCGAACACGATCCCGGCTTATTGTCTTGGGCTTTTACTCAGACTTCAAAGCTCCAAATCACTTGAATTCATTCCATAACGCCTACATAGATCGGAATCACTCCTACAAGGCATAAAACACATATTTAGTGCAAAACACTAGCGATTAAAGCTCAAACTCAATTAAAATGCAGTAAATTAGAGTGCAATAAGCCACTAAAATACACAATTATAGCCTATCATCAACACCCCACACTTAAACCATTGCTCGTCCTCGAGCAATCAAACTACACTTTATATAGACACAACCTTTTTAAGCAATTCTCCTAACTCATCATACCAAGAATATTTAAAATAGACTAAGCACAAGAGTGTAACATCTTCACCTCAAGATTTGACTCACAAGTACCACACATTATTCACAACTTACTCACTTACTCTACATAGAGGTCAATGACACTACCTTTCCTTCATGAATCAAGTGACCTCACACAATAAAAGAGAGTAGTTCCACACACTAAAATTTAAGAACAATTAGGAACTCAAGATAGAAAGAATTCACTCACTCTCAGAAATAACATTCATATGCCACAAAAGATGCACCATAGGCTTGCCCGTAGTGTACTACTCTACTAATCAAGCCTATTCAGTTTAGGATCAGGTATGACTTTATTTGGTTGTAATGTAGGCTGCGGGACGGGTATGATACATTTAGATATAAGAGTGACTATACCTCCCTAAGCACTTTAATACATACAACGTTGAAAACCCTATACTTATGTCAAACCATAACTCCACCTTCACATCAATGTACATTAACTCCATACTTCTTTAAGCACAATTACATCAACAGTCACCACTATCAGCAATACAACTAATTTTTTTTTCTTTTCCAATTCAAGTGGCTCTTACTTTTTCAAAACAGTGCACCTTTCTCCTTATTACATTAGTTCCACTCAAAAGCTAACCCAACCACCCCACACTTTAACTTTTACAAAGTTCATAACAATTCAAGTGCTCATGAGAGGTGAAAATGTTCAAATAGATGGTTAATTCAAACAACTGGGTAAGGCTTGTAATGTGGTTGCCAAAGAAACAAGATTACAGGCTCAAAGGGGTTAACTATGATACATAGCAATTAGGCGGGTAAAGTATATGTATGGCTCAAAAAAGAAATGCCTATATCACTTCCAAGATTGAACAACACTACTATTTCGCTTTGCAAACACACGGGGCAAGTTCTAGACATCAAATGTAATGCACAGAATAACACGAAACCTTACACACACATGGCACATAACTCACTCAGGATTGAACTCATCAAGACACTCTAGTCAAAGAAGTTAAGCAAAGTTAAGATCATACAATTTAAGGTACTTATACAAGAGTCAAAAATTGAGCCTAAGCGTCACCACTAAAGTACTCACTATTCCCAAGGCATGAAAAGGTTAAAAGAGATTGCTTCAATTCAAAACATAGCACAAGACTTCCTATTTCTAAAAAATAAAAATAACTAACTATACCCGGTTCAAACAAAACCCTTGAAAAAGAACCGCGACACAAAGAAAAATCAAGGGAAAATTGCTACACTACCTACAAAGAAAATCTTTTTCTTCTTTTTCTTTAGACTTAAATCCCTCAAGAAAACTGTCTAGGAGATCCATCGTCGGGAAAAGTCCAATTTTTTTATTTTTTTTTCTTCGATTTCTTTCCCAGCAAATAAATGCTACAACTTCCTACTATCATCTAGAGAATTCTCCCACCCCACACTTATATTATGCATAGTCCTCGATGCATGATCATAAAGAAATATTAAAACAAGGGTGAGAAATACCCCCTGAGACTCTCTCAGACCTAGCTCGGACATGATCTTCAATATTAAGGGCTGAGATGACCCCACACTTAAGATCAAACATGCTCTTCAACTTCAACTTTGGGTACTCAGACTTCTCCTACTCTGCAAAATAAAAACAACACAAAACTTTACACTAAAAAAAAATTAATCAATAGATAAAAGATATACAGGTTGGGTTGCCTCCCAACAAGCGCCTTATTTATAGTCGTGGCACGACTCTGCTATTCTGCTCAGGCTGGGCGCTTTCTCTTTTTCTTTCTCCCATGAAATCTAGCCTTTTTGCACGCTCTCGGAAGGTCTCCTCTTTCATCTCTGGTTCTTTTCTCAATCATCTTAACACGCTCAGCTGGAAATACCACCTCCTTTAACTCAGTTGTCCCATCTAGATCACTATAATTTACATAAGGACTCTGCTTTATCCCCTTCGATTCTACCACAGTAATCATGCACAAGTTCTCATAATGCTTAGGAAGCTTAAGTGCCTTGTACACATTAAAAGTGACCTCCTCATCGTCAACTCTCATTTTTAACTTCCCTGCTCTCACATCAATAATTGCTCCACCAGTAGCTAAGAATAGTTGCCCCAAAATAATGGGCACTTCCATATCTGCCTCGTAATCAAGAACAATAAAATTAGCAGGAAGAATAAACTTTCCCACTCGAACTAACACATCCTCAATAATTCCTTCGGGCATGACTAGTGACCTAGCTGCTAGCTGTAAAGTGATTGTAGTAGGTCTAAGCGCCCCCAGTCCGAGTTGCTTGATCAAAGAGGATGACATCAAATTTATACTGGCCCCTAAATTACACAAGGCTCTACCAACTTCTTGTTTTCCAAGAGACAAAGGAATTGTGAAACTCCCAGGATCCTTCAACGTAGGAGGAAGTTCACTCTGAACTCTGGCACTACACTCTTCAGTAAGTGCAACTGTTTCGAACTCTGCATGTCTTTGTTTGTTTGCCACAATATCTCTGAGATACCTTGCATACTTAGGCACTTCCTGCAAAATTTCCACCAAAGGCAGATTCACACTCACTTGGCTCAAAATATCTAGGAATTTCTTATACTTAGCATCATCTTTTTGCTTCTACAGTCTTTGTGGAAACGGAGGTGGTGGCCTAGTCTCAATTACTGGCTTGGGTCCTTTATCATGTTTCTCATTCCCCTCAACTGGCTTGGGGGCTAATTCTCCTTCAGGATGATCTGTATTCTTCTTTTTCTTTGGAACTTCTTCTAGTGCTCTTCCATTTCTCAAGGTAACCACGTTGACTTAAGCTTTAGGATTGGGCTCGGTATCAGTTGGAAGAGCTCCAGCTGGTCTAGTGTTTTGAGCACTGGCAAGCTATCCTATTTGACGCTCCAAATTTCTCACTGTTGTGGCGAGGGCTTGCTGTTCAGCCATCACTTTCTTAGAGAGGGCTTGCTGTTCATCCATCACTTTTTTCAACATGTCTTCAAGGTAATTTGTAGGACTCACTTGTTGTTCAACCTGAGGTGGTCTATATTGCTGTTGAGGTACTTGAGGCTTATATTGATTCTGAGGAACTTGGTTTCCACCCCAAGAGAAGTTTGGGTGGTCCTCCAGTTGGGATTGTAAGTGTCCCCATACTGATTTGTTTGGCCTCGATTTGCATTACCCACAAAATATACAGACTCTGGATTTGCTGGGCATATATTGTTCATGTGACCCTCTCCACATACTTCACAAAATATTTGAACTTGTTGTACCTGTTACTTGTTGATACTCAAGTTCATCTGGTTTACTTGATTGGTCAGTGTAGCAATCTGCGCTGATAATGCTGAGACGACATCTAACTCAAGAACCCCTGCAGACTTTTGCACTGTGTGTCTGCCCATCTCTGCTTGCCAATCCGGATTGCTCTTGGAGAATTTATTCAATAATGCATATATCTCGTCAAAGCTTTTCTCCAACACTTGACCCCCAGCTGCAGCATCTACCACGATCTTTGTTTCAGAATGTAGCCCTTCTATGAAAGTGTGAGCTAACACTTCATTCGTCTGATTTTGATGATGACAGTCTCTGAGTAGCCCCTTGAACCTTTCCCAAGCTGAGTATAAAGATTCCCCCGCTTTCTGTTTGAAGGCAACTATCTCACTTCTGATCTTTGTAGTTTTGCCCGAAGGGAAGAACCTTGCCAGAAATTTTCTCGCCAAATCATTCCATGTTGTAATTGAATTAGCTGGTTCTGCCTTTAGCCACCGCTTAGCCTCGCCCAATAGAGAGAATGGAAAAAGTGTGAGCCTCACATAATCTGGAGTGACCCCGTTAGTGATGTAAGTATCACTAATCTCCAAGAAGTTCAGAATATGCTGCTTTGGATCCTCGTGTGGAAGACCCATAAATTGCCCGTTTGCATGAAGCAGCTGGATCATGCTCTGTTTCAGTTCTAAGTGCCCAGTGATCCTGGGCTTCACTATACTGGAGGTGACATTAGCAACGCTGGGCATCGCCACCTCCTGAACAGCCATGGGTTGCTCCTCTGCCATGTCCACGGGAAATTGAACAAGTGCCTGAATATTATTCGTGTCCCTTGCTTCCCTCAACCTCCTGTGAAATGTTCTCTCAGGTTCAGGATCAAAGCCTTGAAGTCGGTCTTGGCTTCTAACCCTACGCATTCAATCAAAGTTCCTGAGATCCGAGCAACAATAAAGTAACGTTAGACTCGATGAAATAAACAATTAAAGCAAAAATTAGCAAGTAGCTAATATTCAAGTCCCCGGCAATGGCGCCAAAAACTTATTGCTCCCAAACGCACACGCAAGTATACGTGGTCGTACAAGTAATAAAATGATAAGTCGAGTGTTGAACCCACAGAGACTTATATCAACTACTCACTAAACAACAATATTGTTATTCCATCAAGCTAAGTTCGAGTTCAAGAGTTTAATTATGCTAACTACAATTCTAGGTAATAACTAAATTATCAAGAAGTAGAATGATTGTTATGTATTCAATAGAGACAACTATTCTAGGGTTGTGATCGATTCACCAATCCTATTGTGTTCTAATTAACTCTCCCTTTCATATAATTCACTCATGGTTGCTAATTAATCAATAAATTCTCTCATAGCCTTCTCCCGAAGTACTACTCACCTATTCTCAATAGATTAATGCCTATATTCCTATGAAATTAATCTATTAAGAACACATTAAGATCACGATATTTAATTAAGCACGGTGACTAGGTATATTCCTATCCTAACCACAAATCCGCTCCCCTAAGGGTTAAGATCATGCTCTCTTCAATTCTTCTCTAATCTAAACACGGCTTTCCCAAGCATAGCATAGATAGTAAATAGAACCTAACTGCTGGCCAGACAATTAAGCAATTAAACACAAAATTGAAGAAACAACCATATATTGGTGAATTATAATCAAGGTCAAGCTAATATCAAACAACAATATTCATGGCTAAATCACAACCCCAGAACAATGGGTGTTTAGCCACTCATGATGTAATAAAACAATTGCATCAGTTTTGAATAACTAAAAATAGTAGAAAAGATGAAGAAATCTGAGATGTTCTTGTGTGTATTTTTGCTCCAAAGTGCGTCTCCCCATGCTAAGCTCTGTCAAAAGTCCTCAAAATAACGTTTTTATATGTATTTATACCAAGTAGGGTCTGGACCAGACTAAACACCTTCTCCTGCGCGAAATAGGACTCTGGCTCTGTGAAATTTGTACAACCGCGCCGCACCATGCGCCGTGCCATGCGGCACACTAATGGAAATTATCAGCAGCCTCAACTTTTCGCATCAGGCAGCATTTTACACTGTTGCGCCGCGCCTTGCGGCATCCTATGCGGCGCGGCAGTGTAATTTTCTCAGAGTGAACTTATTTCGTCCTCTTTTAACATCCCGACTTGGTACACTACCTCCGAACACGATCCCGGCTTAATGTCCTGGGCTTTACTCAGACTTCAAAGCTCCAAATCACTTGAATTCATTCCATAACGCCTACATAGATCGGAATCACTCCTACAAGGCATAAAACACATATTTAGTGCAAAACACTAGCGATTAAAGCTCAAACTCAATTAAAGTGCAGTAAATTAGAGTACAATAAGCGACTAAAATACACAATTATAGCCTATCACCTACTTATATACAATGTGTATGACAGTTGGACTAATCATTCTCCACTAACTATCTAACCACTAACCACATAATTAGTTATAACTAACCTTCAGCTAACTACACTAACTCACGTGACTATCATGTGTCACTCTTCTCCTCAATATCCCCAATTTATGACCTACTATATTGTTCGTTATATAAATAGGTAAATGCTTTTTTCCATTATAAATAGTAATAGTAATGGCCGGATCATTATAGGTATAACGATAGATAACCATAATCAAGTTATTACTTAGTTTTTTCCTACTGAAATAGATTTATTATTCTACTACATTTTATTTAAGAATACGAGAATAACTTAGTGCTTGTTCAGATATCTTGATTAAACTCTTAATTAATTTTTGCCGTCAGAATAATATTTTTACTAATTTAAATATATATTTACATATTATATACACGTTACACGTTTTTTATTTAACTAGAATTAGTGTACGTGCGTTGCACGTGTATTATGCGTTATGCACAAAAGAACACATTTTAATAGGTAGAATAAGAAAGAATTAAGTATAAAGGTAATTGATGATGCAACAAACATTTAAATGGTAAGCTGCCAAAATAGTGTATATGAAATTGAATAAGAACGAATTAAGTTTAATAGCAATTGATGATGCAAAAAAGTTATGTAGATATTAAATTGAGTATTACAATGAAGCTTGGATGTAGTGATGTTACTGGACCCATTAGCTGGACTATTGCTTATCCTCTGTCATTTGTCGAAGAATGTTGATGTGCGCTAGGAAGAATGTTGCTTTAATTGTTACTGATAAGAGGAAGGCACCTCTAGAGGAAGGCACCTCTAATATAAAATGGTATTGTCGACGCATTCAGCGAAACAGTTCAGAATCTATAAAATAAATATAATATATAGTTATAATATATGTAAAATTCATATATAATATGTATACTTAATTTGTGTATAGTTGAGGAGATTTCATAAAAAAGAAAATATTAACATATTATTATAGTCTTTCTATCAACTCTGAAATTTATAATTAAACATAATAATTACGAAGAAATATTTAACATTTTAAACTAAAACTTCTAACTTACATCTCGTTGATAAGCACTATTTCCCTTCGTTTCTTTGCATCTTCTCCCATTGAGGGTTTAACATCCACTAAAATTCCAACTATATCTAAAAAGAATATTAAAACAAATATATGTATGTTACTAAAAAATTAATAAGGCGAATTAGAAGTAAAATATTATTTATATATTTAGTGAAAGCTTACTGGATGAAATTTAAAGAACTTACCAAAAATTGTTCCATTGGTGCAGTTTGATGCCTCATCGAATGAAATAAAATTATTTGAAAAACCAATGGTCGAAAAGCGATTGTTGCTTTCTTCAACAAAAGTATTCTCCTTAAATCCAATCTCAAGCTCCTTGTGCACTGATTGAAAATTAGGATTAACACTATTAATGCCTCCGTTTATGATGTAACCGATCTTGTTTTGTGTAAATGTTCTTTCCACTTCTCAATATAACCACTAAAAAGTGTAGCGTAAATTTTTGTTCCCTGTAAAAAGTTCCACTTTAAGTTTAATCTGATGGTTAAAACTAATATCAAAAGACATGAAATAAATTACTTATATAAAATAATATTTACCTCTTTATCAACTAATGTCACAATTTTTTCGGGTGCCTTGATTTGTCTTATTGTTGAACTTTGTTACTATTCCACTCCTAAACACTAAGACTCGTATTACCCAACATAAAGAAGATACTCTTACACTATTAATTGGGACACATTGGTCTGACAATTCTTTTTCACTGACCATTACAGGTGTACCTAAAATAAAGCATGCGTAAGAGTTTTATAAGTTATCAAAGTGACTAAATCCATAATTGATTTTTTTAATGATATAAGGAAGATTATTTACCTGAACGGATGTAATTGGTGAAACCTGAGTGAATCAAGCATGGCAATTGCAAATAACATAATTATAAATCATGTTGTATTAATATTACACAAAATTAAATGAGATAGTCTAATTTTTATTTTTTATTTTTTTAAAACAAGCAACTTGAGGTTGCACAACAATAAGTATTATTAATTATACAACAAAGAAAAAAATTACTAATATTTAAGTAATAAAACTTAGGTCGAATGTCTAATCAATTTCTGCGATGAATTGCAATTATTCAATAACCAGTATTAAATTTGTAAATTACGTGAGAGGTGAAATTAGCCACGTCTAAAACATGAAACAAAAAATTATATAGTAAAAATTTCTTCATGCAACACTAAAGATAAATTCTCGATGCAACATTAACAATTGATGCATGTAAATGTGCTTGCAAAATACGAAGTAGCAAAAGATGTTGATATTAGTAAAAGAAACAAAACCTGCAATCACGATGTTGGAATATGGCGAAGTTTGACGATTAAATTGTGACAATATAACTTCTTTTATAGACACAATTTGACACATGAAAGGAATAATATGCTCGTGGAGAATCTAATACTACAAAATTTTCTAGTTTAGATAATTTAACAAATAATGTCATTTGTTGAGGTTAGAACGAAGCACTAATAGTTAAGGAAAAAAGTTATTAACTTTTTTAGTGTACAAGAAAATTACCAATTATTTACTACTCCAAAAAATAAAGGGAATTTAACCAACTCCAATAGACATACGGTTATTTAATGAAAGTGAACCAAGTGTATCTTTTCATTTTTTTTTTCAAAAAACAACCAAGTAGCGAAAGTTAGGAATTTTATTTATTTATTTATTAACTTTCCTTGTTTAAGAAGCTTGAAGAAAAATTGATTTATTAACTTTCCTTTTGTGAGAAACGTGAAGAAAAGTTATACCAAATAATTAAGGCAAAATTTACTAACAATTAATTCTAGCAAAATATACCAAAATAATACAAAATTAAGTAAATGAATATTTTTAAGTATTAATGAATAACTTAAATTACTATATTGTCCCATGTGAATTGTATATTTTAAAGGGTATAAAAGGCGAATGACATTTCGCTAATGGCCTTCGTGCTTTTAATATAATATAGATGACTACTTTCCTGGAGTTTCCTTTCCACCTTTCTCTACTTGAAAAGCCAATAAGCTTGTCTGGATTAATGTTGTATCGGAAGTCGTGATCACATAGCCGCTTTCGCTCGTCGTGTTGTTACGACAGCATGTTACCGGGAGTGAAGTAAACTGCGCTCCTAATGTAGTAGTCATTCGCACCATTCCACGTTTGATTCTTTCTATCAGGAATATTGATGGCTCTGCGAGGGGGCAAAGCTACCAAGGTGATTTCCCATGACGAATTACCCGCTTCAAAGCTTTGTCTCATTAGACACAAGAAAGAGTTCAGGCATTATTGAAAAATGAGACTACAATAATGTATTCATTCACAAACAAAGAAAATATAGTAGGATTAGTAACAAGTTGAACAAGCTGTATTACTATTGTATTGGTTTAAATTTGACGACTTGATAATTGTAAATAAATTAGATCGAGGACG